AGGAAAACTATTTTTGTAAATACAATAAGGAGTCTTGTGGCATCTTAAAACTAACAAATTGATTTGGGCATAAATGTATTTGCTGGACATTGTTATGTTATGTTCATGGAACATTTATGCCCAAATTAATGTGTTAGTCTTGTTTTTGCTGAAACAGACTAACATGGCTCCCCCTCTGAAAATTGTTTTTGTAAACACCACCGATAATAGCAAATTATGTATATTTAGTGGGAGTGGAAAAAGAAGTGTCATATACATTATTTTAACTTGAAACAAAATGAAATTGCTTGTTGCTGTATAGAGAATTGCATAGCAACATGTTAACTTAGCTAGGATATGGCATTGATTGGGAATGTCCAGCTACATTGCTGAAGTGATAAATGTAATATTAAAACTTTCACTTACTGATAACCATAGCAATGATACACTGATATTTTCATGACATTTCCTTTGTTTTACTTTGAAGTCTGGCTTGTTGAAGTCAGGAAATCTTTCTGTATTAGTAACACTAAAGCTGTTTGTTCTTATTTTTAAGTCCGTTTAGGCTAGTGATAATCAAACTAAGTTGTCACACATTACTTCAGAATATCACATTGAAAATGAATCCATGCATGTAAAGCAAAACGTACTATAATCTTATTTTAAAATCTACGTTTTTCTTAAATAGCTTTTTAATTTGGGTCAAAGGTTTATATGTGTGCCAATTTGTTTACAAAAATAATACCTGATGTATCATTTTAGACACACTTTGGAGTTTGATCCAATGCTGAGTTGAGGATCGTGCATCCCATTTCTATTTTACCATGTGCATTTTTCCATAATATGCTTTTTTCTATTCCATTGTACAAATTTAGCACCCAATCCTACGAATATTATGAACAAAATTCCATTAAACTGAATGTGATTAAAGTTGATTATATACTTTAGACAATGCAGAGTTAAATCCTTAAGTGATCCTATAGATTTTGATGGAATTGACTACTTCTGTATGTGAAACTAGTGGGATATGACCCATAGAACAGACATAAAAATCTGGATCTGAATAGAATTAGCATTGGTGGAGACGGTGAGTGATTTAAAATTCATGTCAGTGTCTAGTTTATGCCTCCATATGAACAAATAGCGTTATTTGTATATTTCCATGCATAACACACTTTTAATTGTATATTTCTAGATGATTATTATACTTTGGTGGTTAGAATTGCTCTGCCTTTGTTTTCCTCTTATAATACTAGACAAGACATGTTGCAGCAGCCTAGAAATACACTATATATTTATTGTTAAATCTTAAACCACTGGTTAAAATATATCCTATCTGATTAACTGGTTGGATGTCCTAATACCCTTGCTATTCAAACTTTCCCCTACGTTTAATAATTTATGTGGGAGGAATCTTTAAATTTACAAATGAAAATATTACTTCTTTAAAAATATAGTTAAGATTCTTAGTTAATTTGAATCTAGTTTTGTTGAAATCAATGGCAAAACTCACACTGATTTCATTTGGACCAAAATTGGTTTCAGTAAAGCCTCAATTATAATGAATGCCTTTAGTTTATATCCTGCAAATGGCAATGTAATGTTGCAGAAGACATCATTTTTTACTGCAATTAAGATGGTATATGGTTTAATCTGATCTAAAAATGTGTGTGTAAAACTTCTTAAGCCTTATCAGCTTCTAATAGGTAATTATTACAGATACATTTGATTAGATTAATATACCATACTTATTTAAAATTTTAAAGTACAAAGATATGAACATTGATATTTCTATCAATGCTTCATGCATCAGGAGAAAGTCGTTCCTCAGTCAGCATATACAGCTAAGTCTGTTTTGTGCTGTGGCAAACGGTATTGTGATGAGGCTGTGAGTAATCAGAAGTGACAGCATAAACACTGTCTGTTCAAAGTGATTTTACCAAAAGCATTATTTTCTGGGAAGAGTACACATATGGCTTTCATAATGCTGAAAGAGCACTGATGTATCAATTTATTAGCACTAGAGTTCTGAGAGTCAGTTGCAAATTATTTTCAAATTAAAGACTCTTTATTCTCAGTGTTTGCTATTCAGTAGATTGCAGGAGCTAGTCAAATAGGTTAGAGCACAGGTAAAGGCTTCCATCAAGGAAATGTTAGGACAGTTTGTAGTAATGAAAGTTTCTGTAAGGAGCGCTGTATGCTATTCTGCAGATCAACCAAGAAAATGAACAACAACAAAGACTTTCGGAGGAATGGGTGTTCTTGATGAGGGCTATAATTTCAGATTCAAAGACTAAGTAAGGTCAATGGGAGTAGCGAGGCAGTGCCTGTAGGCCCAGGGCTACACAGTCACCTGTTTCCTCCCACAGGAGCTGTGCCAGGTAAGTACCCCAATCCCCTGGCCCCTCCCAAACTCTACCTCCTGCCCAGACCCTTCACCCCATCCTGCTCCCCAGCAGTTCCCCGTCACACACTGAGCCCCTCATTTTGGTCCAATCCCAGAGCCTTGGCGAGGTCCCACAAAATCTACTAGCCCCCGCCTCCCAGAAGAGTTAATCCAGCACTAAGTACTTGGGGTCAGCATTATTGATTTAATTATATGTCACAATAAGGACATTTTGAAAATGTCGTGAAGAGGTCAAGTATAAATATACAAATGATATCTGTTTTTAGTACGTTTTCTGTAATCCACTTCGCCTCACTGAAAAGTTGCATAACAAAGTAATAGGGCTAAAATAAAAGGTCATTCTTTTTCTATAAATTTGTTTTGAGGGTCACGGGGATACAGAACTGTGTTGTTTTCATACATTGCGAGCAAAACCTATTCAAGATTTCATTACAGGTCTTAATCATGAACTAAATATTTCAAATAGTTGCATTACTTCCAGTAACCTCTTTCCCCTCTCACAGAATGCCCCCAAAGGAGAGTGAAGCTTAAATAATGAGAGCTCAGAGTATAGCACCAGTTATCTACCAAAGTAGAGACGACATTGTTTATATTCAAGCATGAATTCCGATGACATTTAGCGGAGTTAATGTTATCTTTATTTGGTATTATGTATCTTGCCTAGTTCCATTTGTTTTTCTGCATTTTTTATAACGTCTAAAATTTCATTGGCGCTGGATGATCCCTGCTGACTAACACCACAAGCCTCTTTGGCATAAAAACATCTTTATTCCTTCAACAATATATTTAACAGGTTCTATCTATTTTGCTTCCAGCCTAGAATAGCAACCAGTAATGCCCATATTCATAGTGCCGTTTGTTTGGTTTTAATAAGCATAATTTGTGGTTTGTAGTGAAAAAACAATTTGCACATAATAACCATAGCAAATGAATTGCTATCTTGCTCAGATCTTTTCTGTCTGGGGAGGTTGGTGTGCATTGGTTGGTATGAGCGTGGGAAAATTCTTTACTATGAGACATAAAGGGTTGTACCCCTCTGAACATACTCTTGGGCCTTTCGGGGCAGTCACATATCCCACAACTGTTTAACTCAAATAGGCTTTTCATCAACAAAATCTCAGTGGTTACATATATGAACCTTCATTAATGGGGAGGAGGGTAAGGATATAAAGTAACATTAAAACCTGCACACAAAGAAGGGAGATACTCCTGAATCTAATGTTGAAATCGATGTGACGTTCATGCCTCTTCTATAGAGGCAGCCGTATGTCTCTGATAAAAGAGTTTTATAATGAAATATGTATCAAAAGAGTTTATACAATGGTCACTTTCCTAACAATGGTATCATTTCTTTCCTTCAGGTATTTCTGTAACAAAGAAGACGCATACATGTAAGTAATACCTTTTTGGTGTGGTCTTCTCTTACAAATGGAATTCATAGTAGACTGACTGATCTGCCTCTCAGACTATTAACTGCTTGTCTGATCTGGGGAAGTTCTATTTTACAAACTTTAGTATCCTTCCCAAGACAGAGTGGCTCAGCCCAGGGATGAAATTTCATCAAAATGAGTATGCTGTATGTGTGTGTGTCGTGGGGTGGAGGAAAAGAAGGGAAGGGGTTTGAAGAGGCAAAACAAAGCTCTGGGTTCTGAGGTGTATGCCTTTATAGACGGCTGGTAACTAGGGTTTCCTGAAGCCAAGGGAGAGGACAATTACCTTCTCATCTCCCTTAATTTGTGTGCCTGTTACATATGTGATATGCTTCAAATGAAAGCCTATTTTAAATTATATTTTAAGTCTCCTCCCCCTTTCTATCCTCTAGTCTACAAGTAAGATGACAATGTGCTTGTGTTTAAGGGAGGTACTGGTTGAAAATGAGAATTTGTCTGTTAGCCATCCATATACTCAGACATAGTAAATGGCATTGTGATAAGTGATGTGGACATATGCACTGACGGAATACATATTTACTCTGAGTCTCCTCGTCATCGACAACTGCTTTTGGAATCAGTCCGCATTCTTATTCCACACTGAGCCAAAAGCTCAGACCTTAGGAACTGTTATGATTTGTTATGGGGGAGTGATATTATACACTGCAGTACTTAGAAATGATACGTCATGGAAGTCAGGTAGTGAAATAATTGCCCTTGCCCGCCATTTCACACATTCATACAATGAGGACAAATTAATGGTGTTAGAATTTGACAAATGCCTCATATCCAAGTCATACCCGCTGCTATGCAAGACTTGTTAGGATGTATTTTAACAAAGACAAGACTTAGAGGTGTGTTTACCACAGCGTCATAGGATGAAATCAGTTTAATAAAATATCTTACATTAATCTCACTCCTGTTTCATTCATAATTTTAAAATATCTATGTTAAGAAAAACACACTTTAAAATCCTGCACCAGTAAACACTGTATTATTAAATTTAATAACGGATGTATCAGTTACGGTTTGTCAAGACAAGACATGTAGATGTCACTTTGTTTGAAATGTTAAATCTTGCACACTTGTTTAGAGCGCAGTGATGGTCCTCTGCATAGGCGGGATTAGTACGTAAAACACACTTCTAGGGTCACATTCTCCCGTTGGATGTGTGGATATGTGGTTCCCATTGACATACGTGGGGGAACTACACGAGGGCATCTGAGGGAAAAAATTGACCCGTAGCTTTTTGGTGAATATTTGAGCTCACACTGACTGAGATTGACAGTACAGGAGACTGAAGTCCTCTGTATATCCGCAGGCCAGGCATTGTACAGACAGCTTCCTTGCACAGCCTTGCCCATGAGCTCAACCCTGGCCTGGAGGGACCACCCTCTCTAGAGGTGGTAAGTAATTCAGAATTTATGCTAGCTCAGTCCTGGACCTCTCTTGTGCAGAGGCTAGTGATTGTGCTTACTGTACATGGTGGTTTGTGACATGGACTCCAGTCCACCTGGAAATAAGCAGAAACCACCAGACTATATATTTTCTATTCAGTAGCGCCTTTTATTGACCCGCTGTCAGGAACACCACTTCATTTTCACTCTGCAGTGCCATA